AGGAAGATGAATTGCCAGCACCCCTCAACGCCAGGTCCTCAGGAGCCTTGGGAGCTGCCTGAACTTGGACCAAGAGGAAAAGCAATGGGGCAGAAATGCTCCCTGGCAGAAGAGGGATGTGTGAAGGAGCATAGGACACAGCAATCTCCGTGGCTCTGGTCAGCCTGGGTGACGCCTGTGGCTTTGCTCACAGGGGGTTCATGGCAGCAGTGTTCACTCCGGTCCGGGTAGCATCTGTGCTGGCAGGCTGGGCAGAGCGCTCCCAGCATCACACTGGGAACCACTGAGCTCCAGCCTCCCTGCTCCCACCCACACCAAGGAAAGCACGAATCTTGATCAGCGGCTTTAATCTGTGACTGCTATTGTCTCAAAACATCCCACCCTTCCCGTCAGTGTGGGAGCAGGGACTCTCCACCCCTCGCCGCGGTTAGGCTCACACAGATGCTCACCCACCCCGGCCAGGCTGCAGGGAGCTGTGCAGGAGGGTGCGTGTAAGCCTGCGCTGAATCCGCCTCCTGCTCTGCCATCCCACAGGGCAGAAACAGATGGGCACCACTGATGGCAGATGGCCACAGCCCCTCTTCTGCCAGACCTCCAGTTCTCAGGAGGCTAAAAAATAGGGTGAGGAGAGGGTGGTTCACAAAACTCTTCTGTGTTGTTTCCCCCTTCATACACAGGGCTCAGACAGCAAGAGGAAAGCAAAGAGGAGTCTTTTCAAGTCTCTGGAAAGGTTAGGAGGAATCTAGCTGGTTTTAGGCCCTATTCAGATTTCTTTAATATTCAGGATGCATAATCCTAAGCAGCCAGGGAGCAGCTGAAAGTTTCCTTGAATAGCCACGCATCACTGCCTGAGTCTAGGCACTGGGGCAAAGCCAAGAGCAGATGAACAACGCTGCCCAGGACAGCTCTTGGCTGCAGGAGGTACAAGTTCTGCTGCTGTAAACCTCAGCACAGGAAACGCTGGAGAAGCCCCAAGATCATATGCACTCACACAAGAACTGAGTCGGGGAAGGATCCCAATTTGGTCCAGGCAGAAAGGCAAGGGCAGGAAGGGAGGCACCTGGGCTGTGCTGTGCCCGATGGTGACAGTCTCCCTCTGCGTGCAGGGTAAGCACGTGTGTGCATCCTGCCCTAGTTCCACCTCGGCTCTGAACTCCCTTCAAAAGAGAGTTTTACCACATGATTTGGCTGCAAAGCCAGACACAGCTCACTTAGCATTGCCCTTGGGACTCGTCTGGCTTCACCACCTTCGTCAGATCTTGCCTGGGTCAGGATGAAAGTGTATCCAACCCAAAACACAGCAAACTGAATTAGCGGGGGAGATAAACCCTGAAATCAGCCAGAAGGGGAGTGAAATGCATTTTTTTCGGCTTGAATTCTACTTGGGGGCTGGCCTGTTTTCCCTCCACCATTTCCCATACTACCCAGGGACTCCCAGCACAACCCAGTTACTTTTTCAGTTCCAGGATATGCACAGTGGACCTAATCCTGCAGCCCTAATGAAAGCCCAGGTTGGAAGGAGCAGAGGATAAGATCACTCCCAGGAGCCCTAGATCCACTTCTTTGGAGGAGAAGCACTGATTCAGCCTGTTGAGGTAGGCATTCAGATTTCTTGGGCTTCCCTCTGCCCCTTGCAAAGCAAACAGGCTTTCTCCTGGTTCAAAACCCGTCAACACTCTGTAGGGTGGCAGAACCTCCTGTAAAGGAGATTCTTGGCTCAGATTTAAGGCGCTGCTACAGGTATAGCTTCCATTAAGTCAGAGGAAGGTAAAGGAAATGGGGCAAAGTATTTAGTAAATAAATACTTTAAGGTAAAACCTCCAGCACCACCCCACAACACGCCTGCCTCACAAAACACCCTCTGCTTAGCATTCTGCCTTCAGACTGCTGGACAGCTTCAGCATCCTCCCAGGACGAAGATCCCTCCTGGTCTGCAGATGTGAGTTCAGAAAATCCAGCACAGTGAAGAGATGTGGCCACGAGGAGACTCACATCTTCCAACCCTGCACTGTTACAAAGACACACGGCTTCACGGCAGGTACCAGTAACGCCAGCATCCAGCTGAGGACCTGGTTTGCCATTTCACAGCCATTGCAGTACTATGGAAACATGACTAAGGGGAAAACAAAGAAGTTCTCCTTGTAAAGGCTGTTTTTTCAGTGCCAATGGGCACTTCTGTCCAGAGGAGCACAGAAGCTGTCCCACATCAGATGTGAGCCACCCCCTGGCCCTGCACCCCAGACAGCCTGCAGCTGAGCCGCATCACCACGGCCACAAGTGCTCCCAAAGCCCAAGGGAAGAGGCTCACCCCATTCCTCCCTGGGTGACTGTCACAGATGAACCAGTGGCTGGCAGACTGGGTCTCTGAACCCCTTGATATCTGCACCCCTGTGCAGCAGTGTAACCTGGGCATCCTCCATGCCCTGCTGCACCTTACCAGTCTGGTCAGGGCAATGAATTAAGCATTTAAAGCACTGCAGGGCTATGGACCACAGGGCAGGGGTAATGTGAGCCCGACACACAGCAGAAAAGAAGGGACAAAGCCAAACCTGGGAGACCTGAAGATCATCAAGTTTTGCCCTTGGCTGCAGCAGGTGGAGTCCAGCCCAGACTCCAACAGCCCTGCAGGGATTGTCACTCACTTGCACCCCAACCAGGAAAAACATCCATGCAGCTCCCAGTGGCAGATGAGAAAGCTAATTACACCCGACCTGACTAATTAATGCTGACTTTCAGATTAAAAAATCCTCACTAGTGTTCCATTTCAATTACTTGGTTGTTCCTTACAGGAAAAAGGAAGCCTTGTGCATCAGCAAGCTAGAAAGAAAAAAGGAAAGAGCACAAGGCTAGAAGGGGAGAGAAAGAATTTCTGTAATATAGGAGATTCCTATCGACAAAATAATTAAACTTCACATTTGTTTCTCCCATGGGCAAAGCTTTCAGAGCAGAGCTAGCAGTTTTGTGGTCCTATTTGTATTCCTGAAAACTCAGAGTTTCTACCCAAGGCAGCTTTAGGCCCCTTTGTTAGCTACATAAAGATCCTCTAAGAGGGAGAGAAATGGCCTCTGTGCTTGTAAAAACATCCTGAGAGCATCCAGCTCCTGCAAAAAGCCACCTCTCTGTAATGATGCACAGCTGATAGCAGGGATGGACGCGGTGCCTCCCAGGCCGTTACGCTGAAGAGCACTGTACACAGCTCTGGCCGTGTGAAACAACTGCAGGGCATCATTAACGTACACCCACGCTAAAGCAGGGCTCCACAGTGACACCGAGACTTGGAACCAGAGTTTTGCTCTGCACTTGAATCACTGAGACCAGTCTGGAAGCATCATTTTAAAAAATAACCAAGAAGGGCTTTCTCAGGTCCCTGCTCTCCCTTTATCAACCCAGCTGAGAGCACGGAGTAAGCTGCGTGTTGCCCTTTGCCAGTGCAGACTACCTTTCATGAGTGGGGAAAATGGAACAGTAAGGAGGAATTAGATACAATTTATGAACCCTTAACTGGAGGGCTGACTTTCAGAGGTGTTGCACTCCTGGAAAAGCAAAGCAGGCCCAGGACACCTCAGACTGGGCACCTGACCCTCTATCTCCTGAAATACTTGTGAACACACTGGCTTGATTCAGCCATTGACCAGGACCTGTGCCTGAGGATACAACCCAGAACCTGCTTCTGTGGGATGCAAGCCCAGAGATGCACATGCTGCTTACAGACATGGTTTTAAACCGCTGGCTGGGCTGGCTCCACCATAATTAATCAAAGCAGGTCTACTTTTCCAGCTGTACAGCACAATGTAGCAACAAGGCTTTAATCTGTTTTCTTTCTGGGCCCTTTGCATTTCCCTTCCCAC